CGACTAAGAACTCGTGAAACGTAACAAAACAACGGAACACGATTTCTTCAGTTTATAATCAAATGGCGTGTTGATATCGCGACGCAACACACATACAAATATCGTAATATAATTTATATAATATGCGACTTCAAAATTATCGAATATTTTAATAACGTATACTGGAACTAATAAATATTAACAAGTTGACCATTAAAAAAAGAAGAATTTTAAGTGTTATACACATGAGTTATTTAATCCTTTGCCTTAATGAAAATGTTAATGTTTTGTTAATTATTCCACTTAATTATTAAAAATCCATTATTCTATTTTTGATTACCAATCAAAAAGAATATCTTAGTGTTAAATGTAAAGTTATAAAGTTAAAAATATAAAGTTAGTATTAAATGTAAAGTTATTCGATATTGTTCTCTAGCCAAATACTATAATTTTTTCATTTTTGAATAAGGTTCTCGATTCTCTAAGCTCCAAAATATATCAGAAAAATATATCAGAATATATCAGCTAAAGTTGATTCTATTTTTACAAGAATATTTAAAGGAAATGAAAAGTGAGAACTCTTTCGCCAGAAGTGATCGGGAACATTTATAATTTTATAATTCAATAAAAATAAAAAATAAAGTAATTTTTACGTGGCAATTTCGATTCTAGATCTTTTCTACGATTGTTTTCCATTCAAAGATAAGTGGAAAACATTTATCGACATCGACTTCAAAATGCAACATCCACGAAAGTAAGATTTTGTTGTGCATTTGGTGGGATATGAAAGGCGTTGTGTATTGTGAGCTACTGAAACTGCATTAAACAGTCATTGCTCAGCGTTATTAACAATAATTAATCAATTTGAATCATGTTTTGAATCAGAAACGTTCAATAATAGTTCAAAGAAAACATAAAGTGATTTTGTTGCACGACAATGCTTAACAACATGCTGTAAAAGTGATTAAAGATATGTTATCAATGAATAGGCTCTTCAATGAAAAGTTTTATCATACGTCACTGTCTGATATTTATTAGATTGTGCTTTTTCAAATTATCATTTATTTCGATCGATACAGCATGATCGTACTTGCAGATCGACAACACTTCATAAAACATATGAACATATGAAGAAATAAAGAAAACGCTCGGTGAATAAATTGCTTCAAAGGACGAAGGACATTTTTTTATCGCAGAATTCATTTATCATCAGAAAAGTGGGAAAAAGTTATAGCTAGCAATGGAAAATATTTTGAATAAAATATAATTTAACGTCTCTTTAAAATAAACGCGTTTTTTTGCAAAAAATCTTTCAAAACTAATCGGAACATCTAATAGATTATCTTTTACATTTTTTTTAGATAATTTACACAAATATGTATGATCAAATTACGTAGATAACAAGTTATTTTTCAAAAATAAGAGTTACTTGAAAGTATCGTCTTATAAATGATTTCTACATATATTGTTGTCTCGTACTAAAAAACTCTACTAGTGCTGCTAGATTTGATAGATGAAAGTTCGAAAAATTGACTTTTGCGCATGACTTGTCGACTTTCATATTATTGTGCACTGCTCTTCTTTCATCTGTTAAGACATTGGATTATATATGAATGTTCATGTGTACATGTGGAGAGAATATTATAATTTTCTTCAAATAATTTTTTTGTAATTTTATTGTTTCCAGTAATGCTGGAATAGGCTGTCAATAAAGTCTATTTTGGTAAGATCCATTTGCACAATTAAATGGAAAGTCAACTAACAATTAAATCACATATCTTTGTTTTTCTTTCAAAATAAACAAAGACACACATGTTCTAACTGTTAGTTAGTTAGTTAATTAGTTTACCACTCAATTGGTGCAACTGAGTTTAAGGAATAGTAAATTTTGTTAGAAACAAAGCAAAACAAATTTTTAAATAGAATATTTATATAGGATTTTTTAAATATAAATAGCACATATGAAATGAAAGGATAGCCAATTAGATATAACTACTCTATATTCTTTTTCACTAAGAATCAATGCGATTTACGTCTACTCATGTACTCCTAGTAGTATTGACAGATACTCCTGATAAATACTGATAATATTTATGTTGTAGCATCTCATTTACAATTGTCCGTTGAAATTTTACGTCCAGGCTACTGTTTTAAAAAGCGATTGAGAAATCTGTCAACGCGGAACGTAGGCGAAATAATTGCAAGGTGCGTGAAATTCCCACGCACAATATTTGTGCGAAGACTGCTCTACGACATTGTGCAGAGATTACTTCGTGATATTTTTGCGAGGACTCTTCCACTATATTTCTGCGAAGTATACTTTCAAAATATTTCCACGAATTTAATAAAATTCGTTATTTTCTAGAAACGCGTGTAATCGCAAATATAAACATAAGAAGTCATGACCGATCGCAAAATTTATGAACGCGTACGCGAGCAAAACATAGCTACAAATACTTGAAATTTTCGTTTCTGAAACGCATAACTAAGCATAAACGCATAAACAAGCAAAAATTCCACTTTTATATCTCCGACTTTCATTTCTTTGACGGAAAGTTACTCAAACTCGATAATATATCATATTTCGCGCTGGATATTCTCTATAAAGAATCGAAAACTAAAGAGTTTTTTATGGTAATTAAATATTCGTGCTACTTTGATGAAGCTTATACGTATTGAATTTAATTTATTATGCTTCATCTTTATTTACGAAATGTAATCGCGAAAAATAAATGTATATGTAATCGCACGTGTCAAAAATTTGAAAATTTAATGAGTGCAACGATAAAAAATCTTACAAGGTGAGCGAAGTATTCGCAATTTTTGCATCCAATAACGCAATTTCTCTTTATACACACAATATATTGTTCTCTATAAATAGGAAATTACATTGAAAGTGAAAGGTTCTGTTGAATATTTTAAGTTACATAAAAATAGTTGCATATTTTAAGTTACATAAAAAAAAGAAAAAAAATAACTAAAGCATTTATACAAATATGCTTGCTAAAAATTAAGAAAAGATATATTTAAGAAAGAAGAGAGTCAATATTTTTCAAATATCAATTATATCAAGCTAACTTAGTATTTAGTATAAATATTTGTAAATGATACATGTATTTTAAGACATTTAACAAAGCAATTTCCTAATTGTTTTGACCAGTATATTTAAGGATACACACACACACACACACACACACACACATATATATATATATATATAATATGCAAATCTATTAACAAATTAAATCACATTGATTTTCAGAAGATGTCATAAATACTCACCAGAATCTTTTAATTTTTTTAATTTTTTTTAACCTAATCTTTTACTTTTATTTAAATATTATATGTGTAGACGAAGATGTCCGTAATTTTCTGCATGAATTTTAGAACACATCCATCTTATCCAATAAAAGAATTTTCCTATTCAAAAACAAGTTCTCTCATTGGACAAGATAGATGCGTTCTAAAACTTATACAGAAAATTACGAACCTCTGTCTAGTAGTGTACACACGTAGAACGTGAGAAAAGTATCTCGAAAGTGCTCTTTAATGCTGGAAATACCTTGTCAAGGATGCGGTGCCTTCTTGTCCTCGACGAATGCTCCTATCTTAACTTACACTGCTACGATCGTTAAGATATCCATCATAACCGTATGAAAGTGGAAAAACTTGATGAAATCATTTAGTACGATGCACGTGAGTTGGAAGTATTACGAATAAGAGTAATTTCACCTCACATACGTGACAGAGCCTCTGGTATCTCGTTTACGTTTCTGATATACACGTCGTCCGCGCATAAAGTACGTGCGCGTGGGAATTTTGGATAATTTGATAAGGATTTAAGGTACGAGAATCCTCCAAGAATCTTCCAATAGACTTTTTTAATCTGCTCGCATGTACGTCTGTTGTGATATGTATTATAATATTCTTCTTTGATAGAATTTAAAAAATTCAATATTTTAGTAAATTCCTATATAACGTCTGTGTTGATCATTTATTTGAGAACTTTGAGTCCTATTATTTAAGAAGATAAGTAAATTATTTAATATAAAATCATTCATTATATAGTTTCTCGATTTTAATGCATATTAAGATAATTGAGTATTAGATAATTCCAAAATAAATTTTAGTAAGTTTACAGAAAAATTTAAAGTAAGTTTACAGAAAAATTTAAATAATAAAAATATATACATTGATTCTTCATAAATATTATAATATAATGATCAAATTTTATGAAATTTTACTATCTGATATCGTGTTTCATACGTTGTCGTAACTCAACTTGTTTATGGGCAACATTAAGTCGTAATACAATTATAAGATCCCAGATAGCACAGAGAATTCAAAAAGAATTCAGTCGTATGTTACCAATCCTGAGTTCATTTTCAGATGTAAATGAATTCTTCAGAGTTCCGTGAAAAGAATTCTTTTTGTATCTAAAAATGAACTTAGAATTGGTAACATACCACTGAATTCTTTGTGCTATCTGGGATAGCATTATCACAAATTGATAATAATAGATGGTTGGCTTATTCTATATTTCAATTCTAGGAACTAACTTGGAGAGCCATTGTCGTAAACAAAGAGGACAATTAGAGCGAGACTTTTGGCAAAAAGTGAAACCAAGTTTAACTAAAAAGAACAGATCTAATGAAATGTGGCAAACGCATGCGTAAGTTACTAAAGCTTGATCTACAATGTGTTCTTTGCTTCTTGCTTCTTTCTCTTTATCCCTTTCTGACTCAAACCTTAAGCTTTAAGCCTGATCTATAATATGCTCTTCGCTTTATGTTTCTTATTCTTTATTTTCTTCTAACTACAAGATCAAGATTTAAATCAGAAAGAGATAAACAGAAAGAAACATCAAGCAAAGAGCGCCTGAGCTGCTTTTGGAAACGTCACTCGAGTACTCTCCCTCTCTTTTTATCTCACTCTTGTATTTCGCTCACTCTTGTATTTCGCTCACTCCAACGGCTATCGTCTAGTAGTATGCACAGTGTGTGTTTTCGAACGCAGCCATTGTATATCAAACTTTAAGCCAGAAAAAGACAAGAAACAGAACGCAAAAAGCACATTGTAGATTAGGCTTAAAGACAAGTTCGAATGCGTCACGTGTCCGCTGCTCGCGCCAGAATTTTGACAAGAGAGCGTATAGCGTAGCTTTTCGACGAGAGAGAAATTTTCACGCGAGAGGAATTATTATATGTTTGTGATTTATTACTACCAATAGTGAGAAATTATCAGAAAGATAAACGCATTATCGTATTTGTACAATGCGAAGATAGAAAAAATAGAAAAAGATTATCTGTGCGTGCGCATATTCCAATAATCATACGTGTCTATTCTACAGGTGTCGATTGATGGTATATATCATTGTTGCTATTATAGCATTTTTTATAGGATTACTAATTAAAGTCAGCATCGACGAGTGGTTAGCTGATTTAAGGTAAGCATACACAAATAACCATACACTTTATAGGTTAGTTTCTCAGTATCAGAGAGATAACCTAAATATAGCTGCCTCAATTAATACAAGAGATCCTATATTTTAATTTTGTCGTTGGAATTTTTGTTCAATTAAGTATCAAATTGTATTTATGTATTTAATTGTCATTGTATTTTATTTCAGCATGAAGCGGTTATCTTTGAAGAGAAATCGTAAGAATGATACAAGTGAGGTAGTAGAGATTTCAGATGACGATGAAAGTTTTGATGCATTGTCTAGTGCAAAGACATTCACAGAAAATAATAAATGTACAGCTGAAACAAGTAATGTTTCAAATAACTTGATTTATCCATGCAGTTCAAACTTTGTGCATGATTCAAGCAGTGACGATGATATCATCGAAGAAACTCCTGATACTTCTAAAGGAAATCATGCAATGTTTTATTGGAACAAGAATTTGATAAAACCCAGATATCAAAGTCATATGCCACAATATCAAAATATTTCTAAAAGTGACAACTCACTTGATTCAGGACTCACAGCGTCACATATGGAATCTGATAATAATGATCATAATAACTTGGCCACCTTGGGCGATACAGAGAAAGAAGCTCCACCACCTCAAGTTACAGCAAATGATGATGAAATTATGATTGCTGGTGTCAAAGTCAAATTTCCTATCAAACCATATCCATGTCAAAAAGCTGTAATGAGTAAGGTTAGTATTACAATTATATAGTTAATATATGTTTATTATTCTTTTGTTACAAATTTGACTTTTAGTCATATTGAAAATTTGTATGTGCAGCTTATCAGTGGATGCACTAAAGAGGAGAACTGTCTTATAGAAAGTCCAACTGGTAGTGGCAAAACCTTGGCACTTCTTTGTGGAGTTTTAGGATGGCAAGAGCAGTATAGGGGTAAGTCTGTGATGCATAATACATATTTGGTTACAACAATAACTATCAAACATTAAAATTTGGCTTGTTACATTATCAAAATTTTTACATAATACTTAGCTGTATTGATAATTAAATTTCACAATGACAAAGTTAAGAGTTAATCTGTTAACTCTTTCACAACCACGAAGCAACAGATATTTTCAGACGTCAAACCAATATTAGCAAATTGGTGGCATATACCAATTTTGTGCAAAATTTTCTCTCGTGGGAATGTCCAAGATTTTAATCTTATCGCTTGGTTGTAGTAGTAAAAACTAATAATTGTCAATATTCGTCGTCTCTCCACTTCGATGCTGGCCGTCCCATAAATAATCGCAATTTATTAATATTGCATTTACTTATTATAAAAGTGGATTATACAAAATATTCTTATATATTATTACGGTGTATGAAAAGTAGAAAATTATTATTATACAGAATATAGTTTTCATTAAAAATAACGCAGCATATCAAAAGGTTGTTTGAAACATTTATCAAAAGGTTTCTTTGAAACAACATTTTGATTTCTCCAAAATGGTTTATTGAAAAATTATGAAAAAAATCAAATGTCATCTTTACATTTTACTAGGGGCAATAATGAATAGAGAAAAAATTGTTCTTGCGAATATAATTAATCCAGGGTTGAAAGAGTTAAAGTATAAATTAATAGGTCTTCAATTGCTCACACCAAATTATGTTAGAAAAATAAAATCCATCTGCGCACTTTTTTACACCTGGTTGAATGACGCATGCTTTCACGCGATCCATCATATGATATTCATTAATTTCTTACCAATCGTGCTCATGCAGCGCTTTCTGCGCCGTGATTATGTCTGTCTCCAAGATTTATCGCGGAGCTTCGCGAAAATCTCGTTTCCTCGTCGTGCCGCGTCTCGTGACAGCGGGTCGTTAACGTCACCCGTCCGACTTTTGTCTCGCCATATACACACACACACACACACACACACACACGTATATACATATATATATATATATATATATATATATACATATACATATATATATATAAATAAATAAATGTATGTATATACGCTTTCGTTGTCGTGTATCCATCAGATTTTTTACTGTCGTGCGAATTTTGGAAATTATTAGAAAGACCCAACCCGTCGCGCTTGTCTCCCTTTTGCCTCGCGGCGGAGTATCGTTCTTATTAAAGTTTGCCGAAGTTCGTCGACATTTTACTTACCTCGTCAGAACTTTAAAAGTCTTCCGGATAATTTCTCACCGTGTCATCGCCGATACCGGGCGTTCGTCGCGTTTGTCCAAGCGTTCGCTGATTAATCGCGCCCTTTATTCTACAATTTGTGTTATCGTTATAATTTTTTGTCATTTAATCTTTACGTTGAAATTTATTCGAAAAAACGTATGCCATGAACGAGAGTTCGCGAACAGGCGTGTGAATGCGCATATTGATATGCGCACATTCTTGTTTTGCACGGCAAATTTATGCATCGTGCTTCGCGTTTAACCATTTAACGCGGACGAAATCAAATATCATTTCACTTATATGATTTTTTTAGTGAAAGGCTATAAAAATTAATGCGGCTTGCGAATCGTAAATATGTATTGCGCGATCAATTCCCACACATGCGTGCCGCGCACCACCGAGCAGTGGTGGGTTCGATCGTGTTTTGTTACACGGGAAAGACGCGCGCGGCGAAGGCGTGGGCCCTCGTTTCTTCCTCATCGAGAAAGCAGTTCCGATCGTTAGCCTTTCTTGGCTACGATATTAATTTAAATTATTCAACCGTTTATATACCACCGTAATAAACCTCAGTACGACCCGGAGTCACCTGTAATTTCGACTTTGCACGCGTGCATGCAGCTAATTGTTCGAGATTCGTGCAATTTCTAAACAATTAGATTTGCCTTCGCAATGCGCGTCTTGTCCCGTTCATGCTCGTACCAGCCTACGAGAAACGGTGGGACGATCGAATATAATCGCTTTTCATTAGGACAACGTGACGAGAATATCATTTTGCCCGATGCCGTGTTCGATTTACCACGTTTATGCATGTATATTGTGCATTATGCTTGACATTAGTGTCTATTGGTGTTCATTGCAATATTGCATATGTTTTGTACTTAATTAATATAGATAATAGAGATAGAATTTCCATTTGATTTATTTATCAAAGAAGTCTCTCTGAGCCTCTCTGATGCCTATCCAGACTAGAATATAGTTACGCTTTCTATAAAAATTTACTGTGGTAGGAAAAAGACAAACGACAAGAGACAATTGAATATATAATTCTCACATTCACTCAAATTTGTTTGCAGATATTGCTAGAATTCTGCTGTTATAAATTCTATGTACCACAGAAAATTTTCTAACAGATACAAAAACAGCAATAAATTTTATTAACTGTGATATTTAGAATTTTACTTGCACCAGCAAAATATTTTTTTAGTGAAATAAAATACATGCACTGTGGGACAAAAATTTATTAGTCGAAATTAAAAATGTACATTAGCTGTTCTTATTAGCAATAATATAGCTGCTAGTTTTAGCTTCTTTTACTAATCTTTCTCTACTAATTGTTTCTCACACTTAGATATATCGCACTTTCAAATTTAAAGTTCTTACGAAACATTTTATTGCGTAACGATCATGATTTTGCAAAAATTTTTTTATTTCTAATTCTGTTTTTTTTTTTTTTTTTTTTGCGAGAGTGAGATTGTTCTGACTTAGCGTCGTTGTATTTAAAAATCATGTTGTAGTTTGAAATCCATGATCTATTACTTTCCATAAGTGATGATCAATGGCATAGCTTATCTCGTCGGGAAGTCTCGACGGAGACGTGTTTTCGCGGCTATTGCCTTCCAAGTTCTCCCCGAAGGCGGCTAAATTAGCCGGAATCGCTCGCGAAATCAGTGGGGTGGTTTATACGATATTATCTTGATATTCTGCTGGGAAACCATAGCGAATGTCAACCACGTCGAGAGATAATTATGTCGCGGTAACGCAATATGAAAGCAATGTTTATTGCTTACTAGGAAAACTGCTTTTCGGATTTAAATAATTAAATCCGTAAAGAAATATACATGTACACGTATATGCATTAAGACCGATAAATGTTAATACATTTTTACTCAAAATTCAATATATTTTCTCTAAATGTGATATAAAAAAATATAATATATCATTTAAAAAAATGAAATTTAAATTTTCAAAACACCCCCACTTATAAAAAAAATGCATATACTATGTAATAAGCCTCTCGAAATTTGACGCATCTTTTGTATGTAACAATTTTTCATACAATGCATTTACAAGTTATTCAAGATATGCAAGTTAGGTATCTCATCCTGTATATATATATCTTGTAGTCCATCTTATAGCTTAATGTCCTGAGAATTATACAATCAGTTTTAACAATTCTAGTTTCATATTTTATAGGTTCCTTTAAATCTATGTTAAGACTGACTTCTATTTGTTCCCTCTGGGGAGACGGGAAATAAAGCAGGAGGTAATTTTAAAATTTCAAATGAGTATTTATATAAAATTAATAATTTTCGTGATTTATATATATATATACGAGTATATATATATATATATATATATATATATATATATATATATATATATATATATATATATATATATATATATATATATATATATATATATATATATATATATATATATATATATATATATATATATATATATATATATATATATACACACACACACACACACACACACATATACACGTTACGAAACGAGTAACTTTTGTTACTTTTTGTTCACTCTGGGGAAACAGGAAATAAAGCAGAAGGTAATTTTAAAATTTCAAATGAGTATTTATATAAAATTAATAATTTTCGTGATTTATATATATATATATATATATATATATATATATATATATATATATACACATACACACACATATACACGTTACGAAACGAGTAACTTTTGTTACTTTTAAAAGTAACTTGTCTGAAACATTTTGTGTATTATGCAGGTCAAGATATGACGATAAATTGACGATATACGATTCTTATTGTATGCTTATATATTAGGTCAAACTAAATAAAAAAGTCCTATACATTTTGCAAATAAACACATAGATTTTTGTGACAATAATTAAAGAAGATTGGTAATAATTTTTTAATTATTTATAAAAGAAGATTGATATAATCGCGCGCAATCGTTCGCCAATCTTCCATAATTAATAATTAAAAAATCTACGTGGTTATCTACAAAATGATGTAGAACTTTTCTGTTCAATTTGACCTAATCTGTATGTACACAGGCGTTTTTACACCTATCGTCAGAAATACCTCTTGTATATGCGTGTGTATAAAATATAAAAAAAAGTATTTTTTTATGCTATACTCGTATACGATATATCATTTGGGCTCCATAGCAAGACATAGCTAACTCAATCATTTGTCAACATTCCGATACCGCGTCATATTTGAAAACGTTGTCTCGAGTGCATTGCGACAGTAAGACTGAAACGCCGCGCGAGTATTTGACGAGGCAAACGATCGCGTGCCATTTCGAGCTGCACGAGCGGCGAATTAAATGTTCCGCGATGTTAACGTCAAATTTGCGTGAGCAACGTCGTATCTGCTGGTTGCGCGTGGACGACATAGGACGGACAGGACGTCTCCAGGAATATACCGGAAAGGACAGCACGAACCGTCGTCGCCTTCCGGAATTACGGATGGATCCTCCCGACTTCATCCTCGTGACATCGCGTTGCGAACTGAGAATTATCGGGCACGCGAAACCTTTTCCTTCTGCGCGACAATACTTCTACCAACGAACACAGTTAAAGCAACTCTCCGATATCCTATAAAAATTTACATAAATGTCGCTCTAATAATAATAAATAACGCAGTAACCGCAGCAGCACAATAACAATAACAAACAGTAAGATGGAATAAAAACGATACTCAGTTTGCTATAAGAGCAAGATGCATGAATATGCAATGGACTATAG